AAGTATAGGATACCGTTCAGAATGTGGTATCACAAAAGACAATCTCTAATTGTATAGGTCAGCCCGGTTACACGGGGCTACCACCTAATAGGTTAGGTTAGCCTCGACTGCGCAATAGGTGGTCCATTCAGAAGGTCCAATTTTCAATTAACCTTTCCAGCAATGCGCGAATTACGCGAGTAATGTTGGCTTCCAAGTTTTCAATCATAGCTGGCTTATCGAGGAAGATTTTCCATTTCGCATAACCCCAAAGGAAAAACCCAGAGGCGTGATACGCTAACTTGCTGAAACCAAATGTTGCCGCCATCACGGGCTTCAATTTCAGCCAACAAAATGGGCGTTATAAAGATGCGGCAGCGCTCGTTATTGACGAATATGTTCTGTCTGTGGCTAACATTTGAATGGCACTATTTTAAATAGTAAATGTCAGAGAAACGGCTGGCAGAGCTGTTTTAGACTTCCATCCCGGACGGAAGGCGCAACCGCTAAGCTTGGGCTTCTCAGAGCTCTTTCGCTGTCGCCTCACCTCTTCCAGGATGGCCGCTTGAATTATCTGTAATTGGTCTAAGGACCAAAGCGTTTTAGGGTTCTCTTTAGGGAGTAACCCTGACCTTACCCCATTACCCACGTCCACCTGACATCGGCAAAGGTTGCCTTGGCCCTATTCTGCGTTGGTACCATATGGGCCCTTTTGTAGCTGGACCTGGTTTACGTTTGGGAGAGATTTCCACAGGGGAAGATGTTGGGCCTTTCCTTTTTCCATCGGAAGATTGCGAGCCGTTTGGCGTCACTTTCATTGACTCCTCTGGAGAGGTAGAATTTGTAACGCTTTTTACCTGCTCCAGTAAGTTTTCTGTTAGCCTCCTCTGGCTGTGACGTTAAGAGCGCTTCCTCCTCGCCTGTGGGTATTTGGATAANCTATCCGCCGATGGAGCAAAGCAAACACAAGAGAGGGTTTGGCAGGATCTGGCCATTACGCTAAATGCATTGGGTGGTGCTCAAAAAGAGGGTTCGAAATGGCGCAAATATTGGTACGACTTACGGTATGTTCAAAACTTATTTACTTTATTTGTTTTTACTTTATGTATTTGCTTATGTAGACAAAACACACGCACCAAATATGTGGCATTAAACGAAAAAGATAGCCAAAGCGGAATAAATGGACCTCGTCGGATCCAAAAACCATTGTCGGATATGGAGGGACGCATTTTAAAAATTGGGCTTCCAATATCGGTTGATTAAGAGATCATGAGGGTGAAGTCGGATTGATTGAAGAAGTCAGTACAAAAAAAAACAGTGCATTATTATTGTATCGCAATTTTCATTTTGCCTTTGGTTTAGGTCAACGAAGCAGTCGCAGCAGCAGATGCTAGCTCAACCATTAACGTTCCGGAAGGTCCGGCTCCTATTATTGTCAGAAGAAGTGAGAGAAGTGCAGGCGCTCAACAAAGTGGCCCGCTGTATGAAAGTCTTTTGGAGCTAGAAAAGCAAAATATCGAATTAAAAAAGCAAACGCTAGAAATTATGAAAGAAATGCTAAATGTGCAAAAAGACATGAATAAAAAACTAGACACGCTTTTATGCTTTTTTTTTAAATTTCGTTTGTATATTCATGTAACTCTTGCTCTTTTCGGGCCTTATGGTTCGGAAAATGTAAAATCAGCATAGGAATCATCGCTGTTCAGAATCTGAGTCACATATGATGTCCACGTGTCATTCCAATGCGGGCTCTACTG